TTTTAAAGTCTTGTCCTTGCCAAACACTTCAGCTACAGGAACTTATCATTTTAACAAACTCATAAGTAAATACCCACTGAACAAAATACGTAGTTCAAAGAGAAAGTGCTCTGGCTGAAGTGAGAGTAGACGCCTGGAGCCCCATCTACTCAGTCTTCATCAGACCAGCTGCTGGGAGGCCCCCTTGGTCTCCAAGGAACCCACTTTGACAATCACACTTTGGGCCCCATCACTTACGTCATCTATATGGGGAGGGGAATAGTGGTCTCATATCTCTATCTTGGGCCCAGAACTTTGTACTCTGAGCTTATAGACCCACAGACTAACTCCTGATATCCCAAGACTAACGCAGAATCAATGTCCCAAAAAATCCATTCCTCCTCTGTCTCTTCCCCAGATCACCTTGGCTAACAGCATCATTTTTTTTTTTTTTTTTTTTTTTGGTCCACTTAAGCTAGAAACCTAGGATTCATCCTTGACTCCTTCACCTCCTTCACCTCCTTCACCTCCACGCCTTCCTGCTCACCCTCCACGAGCCCTGTGTGGTTTACTGGGAATTATCTCTGTGGTCTGTCTCTTCCTGTCCATCTCAACTTTTGCTTAAACTTTGGCCCCTGTCATCTGATTCCCCAAGACTCTTAGCTGTCTTCCCAATTTTGATTCTAAAGCAAATATCTTTCCTAAAATGAAATTGTGACCATGTCTCCCCTTTTGTTAAAAATTTGCTGTCATCTCTCATCTATGACCTATGGGACCAAGCCCAGCTTTATCTCATACCTCACTCTCTGGACTCAGCACTTACTGCCCCTCCTGCTTGCCTTTACTCCAGGTGACACACTTGCAAACTTTTTCTGCAGAGGGGCTGGTAGTAAATCTATTAGGTCTGTGGGCCACCAGTGTCCCTTGTAAACCGACCCACTCTGCCCCGGGGAGTAGTTACAGCAGCCGGAGACTACGTGTACATGAATGAGCATAACTGTGTCCCTGTAAACCTCTAGTTACGGACACTGAAATTTGAATTTCATACAATTTTCATGTGTCATGAAATATTATTCTATTTTTTTCTTCAACCGTAAAGATGTAAAAGCCATTCTTTGCTGGAGGGTGATTCGAATACAGGTGGAGAACTGGATTTGGCCTCCAGCTCCTGCTTTAGACACACGGTGAATTTGTGGTCCCGCAGATTGAGCAGTTTCACAGTTCCCTGCCTTTGCTCTGTCTGGAATGCTTCTTCCTCTTGTCGGTAGGGATCTTTTTGAGACCCATCTTTAAGTCACTGCCTTTTTTTTTTTTTGGCTTTCCTCAAGCCCCTTTGGCAAACCTAATTGCCCTTTTATCTCCAGCCCCAGAACTCTTAATCAGGCCTCAATTATATAGCTCTTATGCTGTACAGAAGTTATAAATTTATGTCTGTGCCTCTTTTTAACCTGTTCTCCTTAAGAGCAGAGATTGGCCTTGTGGTGTTCATCTTTCTATGCTGCCACACCAAAAATGCTGATTAAATTGAACACAAGAGCCCACCTGCTCCCATCCTATTTAGGCAGAGCTCGACTAGAGCTCAGTTCTTCCAATACCCTGTGTTAAAATTATTAAAATTGTGTCTGGCCATGAACACCCCTAAATTCTGATTGGACTGAAACAAGAATGGAATGTGCTATGTTGTAAGTTATCCTTTATTTTAAATTTACTTTTTGTTTCCCTGGTGAAAAAATGTCCATTACCAGAGATTGGTAATCATTAGTTCTGATAAGTCATAAATCACTGGAGACTCTCCTGCCATACAGTTGAGTGTAGGGGAAACTGATCCCACCTTGGTGATTCTTCCTGGACCCTTCCAGTTCATTCTTCAAACTCCTCTGCCCTGCTCCTGGCCTCAGGGGGCTGAACTCTGTACTGCTAGAGAGCAAGAGAGCCTGGTGGTGATGCCAGTCAGCATCTAGGGCACAGTGCGGGACAGGGCAGGCCCCTGTTCCCTCACCCCAGCTTCCTGCTGGGTTTGCAGATGGGAAATGCAGCAGATGGTGGGAGATGAGGGGAAGAGGATACTGATGCCCTTCCTTCTACACTGTGGGGTGGCAGCAACTTTTCAGGCCTGCCAAGAGGCCCCTCTTCCATGGCTCCAGCTTGTGCCACACCCTTCCCTGGCCCCTTCATGCTTCTAGGGGTATTAAAGGCCATCAGGCTGTTTAGTCCCTGAGGACCTCATCATCCCCGTGGCTTCATTTAACCTCACTCTCACCTCTTCAGTTAAAGGCATGAAGTATTATACCTTCTGTCTCCTACTGGCTCCCGGACTGAGATCTCTCTGCCACTGTTTGGGACTGTGTTTGCAACATCAAAGCTGAGATTGGTCTTCAGTGGTTCCAACTTTTCATTCCTTTAGAGTAATGGTTCTCAACCAGGAGTGCTTTGGCATGTGAGGAACATTTGGCCATGTCTGGAGACTTTTCTGCTTGTCATGACTGTGTGTGTAAGGGGGAAGCGCCAGTGGCCACTAGTCCTTGTATTCCCCTCCTCCTGCACTGCATCTGGGCAGAGGACAAGGTGCTGCTGACCATCTTACAATGCATGGAACAGTCCCCCACAACAGAATGATCAAGAGTGACTGAGCACCGAGGCTGAGCAACCTTGCTTTGTAGAGTCACCAACTGGGTTACTAAATAATCATTGTATATCCTGCACCGTGTTCCCTCAGTCTGCAAATCCTGGAAAGAGAAGGTCTCCGGGGAGAACTATTTACTGATACAATCACAGTAATTAAGCATGCCAGATCCTAATTAACGCTGCTGGAGTTCAAATTCTAACTCTCGAACACTCCGATGAGACCTTGAGCTAGCTCGGTATCATTCCTGTGACTGTCTTTCCTCATCTGTAAAATGGGACTCATAACAGTACTTATTTTATGCCCCAAACCTACAAAACCCTCCTTAAACACTGGCAAACAATAACATGCAAAGCTCCGTTCTAGACTGTGCTGAGGGGGCTAGAGAGAAGAGACAGGGCTTAGGCAACTAAAACAGTGTTTTCAGATTGTGCAATATTGCCTGCTACAACTTGTGAAATTAATGTAGAGGTTGCAACGGGAGTTACAAGATGGAAAAGAAATTTTCAGGGTACATCACACTTAGCAAGAGTAAAGACACTTTGGTGACATTTTTGTTTAGTTCTATAGATGTATGTGTGTCCCGGGTTGTGATCAATGTTTTTCCTACAGTGGTGTGAGATTAACAAAACAAAGTTTAAAAGCTACTGGTTAAAAATAGGAAACGGAATGTACCCAGAGGACCATAAAAGAGGCCCTGTGCTTATGCAAAATACCCAGAGGCCTGTGAATGAATTTGAGCTTCACCCCTTATAGGCTGTGTGACCTGGGGCTAGTTATGCAACCTCTCTGAGCCTTGGCTTCCTCAGCTGGAAAAAAGGGGCATAAAAACATATACATCACTGCACTGTGGGAAGGATGAAGTGGGGCAATGCACATCTGGTGCCTGGCACAGGGACTGGCGTGCACAGGCAGGCAATCCACATGTGATGTACAGACTGTCTTGTGTGGGTTCTTGTTGCCCATTGTCTGGCGTCAAATCTTAACCAATTACTATGACATATGGGCCCTTAGTAACTTAAAATATTAGAAGCACCTAGCACTTATTAAACCAGATACCGTTACAACATCCATCTCCGCTTTTCTATTGTGGAAAACACAGCAGAAAGCTTCAGACAGCTGTTCCACTCACACCGAGGCCGAGCCTCAGCACCGGAAAAATGTCTCCAGGAAAGCTCTTGGGGCAAGGCTTTGTTATGCGAGTGGATCAAGTTTGTTTCTTGTTTATCTTTTAGATACTGCAAAGACGTTCTGCTACCAGGGCTAAAAAATTGAGGCCGTTCATAAAAGGTTCTGATTTCGAAGGTAATGCTTTTGTTACCAGGGCTGATTTTATTCTAATTTCTTGCCAGAAAGCTTGACCCCAGCCAGGGTCAAGTGAAGAAGGCTCCACTGTGCCCTAAACCACTCCCAGGGTGGACTGGCAGACACTTGGCCTCTGAGGCCCAGGACTATGTACAGGGCCTTATTAATATCCTGAATAGGGGTGCAATATAAAACCAGCTAACATTTGAGAGTGGTAATAGTTAAAGACTTAATGAGGATGTTATGAGTCTAACTCTTGCTGTTTATCCCTATCAATTTTGAGTACTTCAAATAAACTCCATGTTGAAAAAGAACGTCCTCACCCACTCCCATCCATTGCTGGAATTCTGGGTCTCTTCCGGTTGCAGAGAGCTCTCCCTTCTGGATCAACCCATAGGTGACCCTTGGTGTTAGGAAATTCTTCATCACTGCAGCAGAAATCTGCTCACTGGTGATTTCCACCTGCCATTCCTGGTCTGATCTCTCACCACTGGGCAGCTCTTTGCAGATCTGAGCTTCAAAGCTACCATACTCCCTGAAGAGATTTTGCCTGTGTCTGTACTACACTCATATTCTCGATAGAATGAAAGGAATGGAAATGTGGGCTGCTCTCCCACTTTTCCCAGAGGTAGCTAAAGGCTGGTGATTAAGAGGGTGGGCTCTGGACTCAAGAGGCAGGACTTCAGATGGCTTTAGGAAACTGGCTTAATTTCTCCCAGCCTCGGCTTCCTTGTACATAAAGTCGGGTGGTGACAACATTTTCCTTATAGGCTTTAACAGGGTACCTGTCAAGCGGCTAGCACTGTGCCTGGCTCTTGGTGGGCACTCGGTATTAACTATTAAGATTATTAGCCTGACCTGAGTGGGGCAGCTCAGGCTACACAATCCCAGACATGTCACTCCCTGGGGCAAAAGGCCACAGGGCAGATACAGAGATACAGATTGGCAGGCTTCTGGTCTGCTGGTAGGAACAGACACCAGAGGCAAGGATGCCCAGAAGCCACACTGGACCCCGTTATGGGGATGGGATGAGTCCTTTGGGTGTCATCTCTGCCACCCAGAGGAGGCCTGGCAGTGCCGGGGGACTGCCTACCTTGGTACTGGGCGCTGAAGCCGCGCTGCCGGTGGTTGCCGTCCGACGTGAAGTGCAGCCGTAGCCAGTTCTTGCTGCTGATGACGGGGGCTGGGAGGCTGGCTCCTGTGAACCTGTGAGGACAGGAAGCAGGCGGGGTCAGAGATGGGAGCTGGTAGGAGCGGGGGTGGGCAGTCAGGACTCGCCCCACTCCCTTTTCATGCTAGGCCTCCACCCACGGCTGGAGCAGGAAAAGAGGGCTGTGTCACCCCAGCCCTTGCAGAAGCTTGGACCTGAGCAGCTTGCCTGGTTCCTCCAGCGCTTCATCCCACAGCCAGGTGTCCCTGAGATGCTGAGACCAGGGGACTGATCCTTCAGACCAGTAGAGTAGTGAGGTGAACTGCCTCCTGCTTAAGTCTCCTAAGCTGTCCTTTTCTGCCTGGAACACACACACCCCCACCCTGCCCCTGCCCCCAGCACTTTCTCCTGCACATCTGTGTCACCAGAGACAACTTTCGGAGGCCCCTGAAACTGTGTTTTTCAACCTTTTTTTATCTCACGGCACATTTGAACGTATAGGTAAGCTTGCGAGGCACACTTAAATTATGTTGATCAAAAAAAAAAAAAAAGGATATACTTGCTGTGCTTTCAACTCCTTTTGAAAATAATTTAATTAATGATTTTTAAAAATTTTTGTGGTATCCCCCCAATCCTCTCATGGCACACCGGTGTGCCGGGGCACACTGATTGAAAATCCCCTCAAACGTCACATTCCCAGGAAAGCCTTTCTACTCTCCTTGGTTTTGTAGCTAACAGATCTGGGTTCAGATCCAGGCTTCGCCAGTGTGACTCTGAAATCATTACCTAACCTTTTCAAGAATGAGATACGATCAGCCCTAAGAGTTTGTGAGAGTACGTGAGAACCCCCATGGGCCGAGAACCTAGTCAGTATTGGGCACAGACTGGGCTCAATAAACAGAATTTTCTTTTCCTTCCTCTGTGACGCCAC